GATTACCACCCACCCTTTCCAGGCGTCACCGCCCCTACGGCCCTTGGGCGCGGCGTTGCTGGCAGGTCGATTCAGGGCGGTTCTCCGAGCAGCTCTTCTGCGGCGCGGCCGCTGTGGCTTCCTCTTCTCAAGGGCAACGATTCGAGCCAGCGGCCTGCGACGCCAACGAGCGTCGCCCAAGAAGAGTAGGGGTGACAAGTAGCCGATATCAACAGCGGGACACAGCGCTGACAACGCGGTGGCCAAACGGCTCATGGACGCACCGATATCAACACGCACCAAAACCGCAATCGCGAAGAGTCTGAACAGAGAGAGCGGGCTGTCTGTACGATGGTAACCAGCGAGCAATTCACGACTTCACGCGCCCCACATACAGAGCAGCAAAATACCAAGCTCTCTGGCGCGCTTGACAGGGTCAGCAGGTGGACCAAATATCTTGATAGGCAGCGAACAGTGGCACGGCGCCAACGCCCGCTCGAACGAACACCCTTCCCCCGACATAGCCCGGAACAACAATGATCGAAAAGAAACCGCGAAACACCTCGGAAGCAGAATGTGCCACAGCCCTGGCTGGAAGAGCCCGCGGATCTGGACGAATAACTTCTCGCCCTCAAAGCCAGGCGCAAAACGCCCGGGCCGGCGCCCCCGCGTTCGATGCAAATGTTGCAATCCAGACGCGAGCGCAGCAGCCAATCACTATTGTTGCAAAAACGCTCACTTCTCGGCTGCAACGGCGAATTCCGTCTGCAAATACATACCCAAGGGTTCCATCATGCAACGAAGCACAATCGTTATCCCAAGCGGGTCCGTAGTCAACCACGCGGCGCCGGGTGACCGATCCTTCGAGTTCTACTTTGCCCAAAAACCAGATGCACCCTCGACGGCGCCCGTGGCTGCTGGAGGATCAAGAGCGCGATCAGGCTCAGGCGCTGCCTCTCCATCGTCTGCAGCTGCGCGGACGTCGACCGCGCAAAGGCCAACGTGGTCACAGAGCGCCAAGCGCCGCCCAGCAGCCAGCAGCGACGCCCTCGAACCACCCTTCGCGTAGACAGCGGCGAAGTGCATGAACGCGGTCGACAGCAGATTGCGGCGCGCCTCAACAATGCCGAGCTCATCCACCGCCCTGTCGCAACCAGTCCAACGATGACGTGGGCACGTAGATGGCTGCGTGGCAATGAGCGCAGTCATCAGACCGTTCGCGACGACTGCACGATGGCGTCGTCGCCGGCGTCTGTAAATCCAGGGAAGCGGTCTCCGCAAAACTCAATGCGCTCGCGCCGCGAATCGCCATTTCGGCACATTGCCAACAACACTGGCTGCGCAGCACTTCGCTCGCCGTGGGCAATGAACACTTGCATGATATTCACATTGTACACCTCTGTTTCGTGGGGCGGCCTGCCTGGGAGAACAAGAAGGCGATGTGCGATTCCATCGCGCATGCACCTGCGAAACGCGTTCATCGCTGAGCTGCTGTTCACTGCAAGTGCACGATTGATCATGCCAGATATGTCACATGAAATCTCTGGCAATTCAAACGCATCCTCGTGAACGCCACTCACTGTGTGAATCTCGCAATGCACGTGGAAGTTCGACTTGAGACCCTGCATTCTCTCTATGTCAATACGCCGCCCCCTTGCAATGATGGCGCTGCACCGGTCCGCGCAAGTTGCACGGGCGCATGTCTGAAACATCCACTGCGCGACCGTGGCAGATGATCTGCGATATTGCTGTGCGACCGTGGCAGGTGATATATGATATTGCAGCGACGCAAACACCTTTTGACGTTGCGCGGCCGATTAGAGCGAAAAACTCTGGGCTGATCATGAACGCAATCAGGGGTCGACCAGCAACTTCCACCACTAACGATGCCCCCTGATGCATCTGCACAAGGCTTTTGCGGCGATCGCTGCTGCTTCAAGGAGCCTTCGCCAGCCCGCCCAGCCAACCCCCGAACAGCTATCGGCCGAATTGGGGTCGCACAAGGGGAAGGTGGGCGCCAGCCCCTGCAGGAGCGGGCACAGCGGCCTGATGCGGCAAGTGTTGCTCAGCAGACACCGATCGTATCATTTAGGCTTCGTCAAAAGCGCAAGATTCAATATAGCGGAATAGCTTGGACCTGGGGAGGGAAGCCGCCAATCCTGGTTCTGTCATTGCCCGCCGCTTGCGCTCAGTGATCTAAAAGACGCAAGCCAAACGCTTCAACGTCGATGACACCCTCTGACCGCTGACACCAAACATGTCAGCAACCGACGATTGGGAAATGACATCAGGATGGCCACTGCCGAACGCATATTCACGACCAATACTTGCAAGATCTGAATCCGCAACACCACCGCGTCGATAGGAACGGTGGGCGGCATCTCTCTGGTCAGCCACCGATGGCACTGGCTCGAGAGTCAACTTGGGAGGCGACGGGGCAGGGACGCTGCGGCTGGCCACTTGGGCGGAAGTCGCGAAGGGCAGCGCCATCTCGAGGCGCCATCTTCCAAGCCGCCCCGTCTCCAGGCGCTGCTCAGCGCCGCCGCCACGGTCTGCCCCGCACGCCTCATCCAGGATCCCGTCCTGGCGTGGCAGGCACCCATATGGGAAAACGTAAACCCAATCACGTGTCCGATGCGGAATTCTGACTGAACCTAGTTCAACATCATACATATGATGAAACACGTGGTTAAACATGGTTAGTCGTACGTTCGGGTCCAAGGGCAGTTCGGCGGCAGACGCGTCTCCGCCGAGCTCGGCCGCCATGGTGGGCGCGCCATGGCGGGGCCGTCACATGATGGTTTTGGGCCAGAGCACGAGGCGCGGCGACGATGGGCGATGGGAAGTTGAACATGCCAGCTCTCGCGCCTCTTACCACGAGCCACGAGCAACATATTTGCGGGAAGCTAGATAAAACGAATGTGTAACATAGGACAACGAATGGAACACGCCAACAGGTCTGGAGGGGAACGCGGAAAAAAAACCGAGGAACAACAATGCTATTACAACAGCAAGTGGGAGATAATGAAGGCAAAGGGGAGGCGAAAAAGGAGGATCTTCACGCAACGGAGGGAAGAACCGAGAGAGAGAAAGAGAGAGAGAGAGAGAAATGGCAAGGACGCGAATACAGAAACAACTAAAAAGGTAGATGGGGGGGGAGCGATGTTGGTTTTCGGAAGATGATGCCTTACGTCTTCGCAAAACAAAACAATGTGGCATCCCCCCACGCTGTCCCTCCCCCCTCTCCCCCTGCTCCCCGGCCCCCAATCACCTGGCACGCGTTCCGCGCTCGCCCGTGTTCCATACGCTTCCCGTCTTTTGCTTTTGGCCACGGGGCCACTGGGCCACGGACCACGGGGGCCACGAGTTTGGAGCCGCGTGGCGACGGGCCAAAGAGCCGCGGCATCGGAAAGGTCACCCGAAGCAAGGTCCTCCGCCGTGATGCGGCGTTCGGGCACGTAAAATCTAGGCTGACTGGTAGGATTGTCTGCGACCCCACCCCTCCCCATGTTTGTTTCCCCCTGGGCGAGCCGCGGCAGCCGAGGTCAATCTAGGGAAGCCAAAACAATGTGTACAAGAAACTGGCTAAAACACAACCGCCCCGCCCCCTGCCCCAGGAAAAATCTGGCCCTCGTTCAAGCCGCCGATGCGAGCAGTCCAAATGTACTACATGGGAAAAGCCGACTCGAGCAAGCCCCAGCAACGCGAAATGTGCCCCAGGACGCTGCAAATCCAGTGTCAAGTGCGCTCGCCCAACTAGAACTTGCCCTGAGCCGACTAAGGCCGACTACATATTGAATCGCACGTTTTGCGCAGTTGGCAAATCCGAAACCCAACTTGTCTAGGGTTGCAATTTTCGCGCGCCCATCTTTAAGTACAGTTCGCAACTTACGGGCAAGCCGCGGCCGCCCCTGCAATGTTTACACGATTTTCAGTTCCGCGCCGAAACCTATTGTTTCCCTAATTCTAGGTCGTGTTTGAGAAGGTGCTGTATGGAGTGCTGTAGGACCTGTGGGGAACACAACCCTGAACAAAAAACCTGTCGTGGGCGATTTTCGGGGGGCGCGGAGGGGCCAAATCCGAACGCGCAAATCGATCATATTGCATCGCATTCGGCCATTTGGGGGTCCCAGGCAGTCCGCACAAAAGATCGTTCCGCAAAAAATGACTCGGCACACAAGATCGCTCCGGTGATTAAAGTCCCTCTGACCTCCCACACGCTTGACTTACCTTGTATACCAGATGTTGTGTCAAATACGTTACAATGCACTGCGTCCCCTGTGCGTAAGAGAAGTCGGTTCCATACAGGTCGTTTGCGTTACATCACAGAATCTGCCATACTAAAACAGCCGAGAAAGCGCTGGTCGATGGCAAGCCCAAAGTGATGTTCACTTCACGGGACCGCGCCATGCTGACAGACGTCTCGTCCACGGGAATTCGCTGACAGATTGCGCGATTGACATGCAAGCCATCATCCTCCCGAGAAGGAACCGGGCCTGGGGCAGAGGAAACGAGTGGAGGGGGGGCACCTTGCGCGCAGAGGGGCGATGGCCGAGGGGGGGAACCGACAGGAGGGGCAAGGGAGAAAGCAAGGCTGATGATCGCGAAGATGGTGATGTGATGGTGGTGTGCTGGTGATGATGATACGGATGATTCGGGCCGGGCGAAAGGGGGCATAGCAAAGGGGGGGGTTGAGCATCAGCTCGCGTTGCTGATTTTCCCAGCGCCTCCCGGCGCCGTGAAGCGCCCATGCATCGAGGAATGGGCCCCTCGGTGGGGCCGAAACCAGCTGCATGCAGCAGATTTCGTACCACCCCCCCTTTTCCCAATGCCCCCTTTCGCCCGGCCCGACTGATCCCCATGAATCTCGAGATCACGGCGGTTGGCGCGCCGCCAACGAGGCCGGCGGAAAACGCTCGGGAACACGCCGGCAGTGGAGATGCGGAAACGGAAGCGGTTGAGCAGAAGGCATCTCTAGGTCTGCCACCCTCCGGCTCCTCCTCTCTCTCCCTCTCTCTCTCTCTCTCTCTCTCTTTCTCCCATCCCAGGGGGGGCGAGCCCCCGCGGAGTCCACGCATGCAACGTCCTGCTCGACGTCCAGCTCCCTGTGCGGTCCCACCGCCAGGCGCCCACTATGGACTTGGCCGAGACGGCGAGGTGTTCCCAGCTGCATCTCCACGACCACGAACTCACCATGGAGCCGCACGGCATCGGCCGACGGCCACAGCTGGCCGCAGCCGCAAGCTGCCCAGCCTTAGCCTGCTCCCTCGGAGTGCAGCAAACGCCCGCACGAGAGGAGAGAGCCCTCGACCAACGCCCAATCAGCTCCTTCATCCTCCTGCACGTTCGCCTCGAGGTACCTCTCAGGCGGGACGAGGAGGGCTCGGAGCTCACTGTCCTGCGGCCATGGCTGAAAGCCACCACAGCGGAGCGCAGGCTGCCCGTCCAGCAGGGCTTCGCCCAGCAGCTCCAGGAGTGGCCGCGGCAGGTCCCAGCTGCGGTTGGCCACACATGCAGCAGGCTGCGATACCAGGCCTCGCTGATGCATGGCCGAAGAGAACTGCTGGCAGTTGACAGCCAGCATCTGGCCAAACTCCCTCTGCGCACCTCCGAGGTCAGCCATGTCGAATGTTGTCGTCGTTGCTTCGGGCCTGTCCGCCAATGCTCGCGCCGCATCCAGCCTCCAAAGGGCCGCTGCCCTGTCGGCCACAGGGGCCATATGCAGGAGCAGCGCAGCAGCGCCCGCAGCAGCAGCAGCCGCCAGAAATAGGATACCTGCCCTGATCCCAGCGTTCTCTCTGCGCAGCGTCGTAGCCCAAAACTTGCTCAGCCTGTCCGCTCCCCAAGGGCGGTCTTGTGGTCGAACTGGCAAGCTCTTGGCACTGCTCGAGCCCTGCACGGTCGTCCACGATGCAGTCGGCGGTGTTACAAGAACCCCAGCACTACACCCAATTGAATCCTTTTATATCATTTTGTCTAATAAACTTGAATCCTCCAATCTCCGAGAATGTGTTGGCTCATTGCAGTCAATATATAATACAGTCATGTTGAAAACGCCAGCGTCTCTACCCATAATATCGCCAAAGTCATCCTCCCGTCTGGGGCCCCATCCCAAGTGTAAAACGTATGTATGCACCTGATGTCCCTGGGGGCCGATAGGCCGCGGCTGCGGCTCGGCCGGCTCCTCCTCCTTCTCCTCCTCCTCCTCGTCATCATCATCATCATCATCATCATCATCATCACCACCACCACCACCTCCACCACCACCACCACCACCACCACCACCACCATCATCATCATCATCATCATCATCCTGCTGCTCTTCCTCATCGCCCCATGCCCCTATCCTCCTCCCCCCTCCTCTTCCTCACCCTCATTTCTCCTCGCTCCTCCTCGTCCCACCCCAACACATCCTTCGAGAAGTAAGAAGACGAAGAAGAAACATAATAATAATTCGCCGGTTCAACGGGCCGGTTCACAGAATGTCTACTTCGCGCGCGCGGGGCGGCCCCTGGGGGTCCCCGGACGAAAGTACCCCGGCAAGGTCTTGGGAGAAGCCCCCAGAGCGCTCCAGGAGTGCACCAACAGGGCCCCGAGACGTCCCCGAGAGTCCCAAGAAGGGCCAAGAGAGAGGCTCAGGAAGAGCCAAGAGCGCCCAAGAGGCCCCCACGATGGTACACCACGGGTCCGAGATGCCACAAGATCGCTCCAAGACGCTCAAGATAGCCCCAGGACGCCCCACGAGGCTTTCAAGAGCACTCCCAAGAGGGCCCCAAGAGACAACATTCACTGCTTGTCCTCAGGTTTTGGCGAGATTTGGGCGTTTCTACCTTTTCGGCATCGCGACGCCTCAAGACGGCCCAAGAGGCCCCCAAGATCGCCCTAAGAGGCCCGAGAGGCCTCCGACAGGGCCCCATGACGGCCCAAGAGGGTTCCAAGACGGCCCAAGAGGCCTCCAAGACGGCCCAAGAGGGCCCCAAGAACGCTCTAAGAGAAGCCCCAGAGGGGGAACACGAAACAACATTTCGAGCCCTCGGCCCTAAGAAGCCCCCAGGAGGCGCCAAGAGGTCCCTGAGAAATCCCAGGAGGCCCCCGAAAGGCCCTCACGAGGCCCCCAAGAAGCTCCAAGCGGCTCCCAAGCGGGCGGCTCCAGGCGGCCCCCCAAATGCCCCCCCGACCACGCTAGCAAGTGCCAGCGATGCTACAATATGGGCAGCGAGCGCAAAAAAATTCTGGGAAACTTCTGCACAGCGCTCCGTCTACCCTCCTCAAGCACCCCTCCTCCTTCTCCTCCTCCTCATCGCCAGCGAGGGCACAATACGGGCCGGCGGAATGAGCGAAGTGATTAAAGAAGAAGAAGAAGAAGAAGAAGAAGAAAAAGAAGAAGAAGAAGAAGAAAAAGACACATGCACACACCTAAATGTTCGAAGGTCCTCGTGGAACTCTCAGGCTTGCGCCAAGCCCAGCGCAGGTCCAAACGAACTATCCGCGCGGAGCTCCCAAAGTTAACGTTCATCCTCTTCGAGCCCTCCTCCAGCTCCTCGCCCCTCGGCTACACGCAAGAGTGCCCTCGGTGAGGAGTGACCCTTGGCATGCGGCGTTCAGGGCCTCGTGGGGGCCCGATCCAAGCTCACTCTCACGCACGACCGAGCTCCTTCCTCCATTCCCTCCTCCCCCGGGGTGGCCCCAGGCGAGGGGAGAGCGTGAGGGGCGACGGCCCCCGCGGCCCCGCCTCCGCGATGCGCTGGTTCTCCCTCGAGATGCTGGACTTTTGCTGCTGCAGCTCCCTGCAGCTGCCCTGCCAGAGGGGGGCTGACTGGACCGACTTCGGCGCCGTGCCCGATGGGGGAGGCGACTGGGGGCCACCTTACTCATGCAGAATGCGGCGGGCCTTCTCAGAAGCCTCTGGCCTTCTGAGGCTGGGGGGGGGGAACTGCATTAGCATATCTTTTTGTGATTCACAAGCGACGGTTGTGGACGGTCGCGAAATACCGTAGGGGGCCTCATCGCGCGTCGCGCACCCACGGAGCGTTGGGCGCCGAGCGCGCGTATGTCGCAAGTAGGCATACCGAACAGACGGATCAGGCGGGGCGCGCACGGCGGGAGCACAGCGACCCGCGCCCCCGCCCCCGTTTGCGATCGCAGGTGCGCGGGAAAGCGCGCGTACCGCCCCGCGCGTACGGCCGTAGGCCTAGATGCGGAGCGGGTGAATCATACATCTATGATTCAGGAGCGCCCCTCGTGCCCGCCTGTGCGCATTTCTTTCCCACCCTCACAACCCTGTGTGGTATTTGGTGTTGTGGACCCGTCGCGGTGGGCGGCGTTCGTGGGACGGGTCGCGTCACCCGGCGCCGCCGCCGTCCGCTCTGTGCTGGTCCTGGCTGCGCCATGTCCGTTTCGCCCTATGCCCGCGCGAACACCGCGTCAGCTAATTCAGGAAGTCTTTAGACAACCCCCCCCAACGAGTGAATTATTTGTTTTTGCGGAGGCCTTATTGACGGACTGGTGCCCCACCAATAAAAAGAAACCAGAGGGTGCGCCGGTAGATCCCCCCAAGGGGGGGGGGGTCAGGACCCCCCCCCCTTCCCCGATCCGTCGTCGGGGAACCCACCCACCCCTCCCACCCTTTCCCCGACCCGTCGTCGGGGACCCCCCCCCCCCTCCCCCCCTTTCAAAAGGAGGGGGGGGGTCCGAACCCCCCTCCCCCTTCCCCCTTTTCGCCACGCCGCCCCCTGACTCCGGAACCCGACCCCCGCCCCCCCTACCCCTAGTCCTCACCCGAACCCAAACCCCGAATCCTAACCCCAACCACTAACCCCAGCCCCAAAGAGCACTCAATACTCATTACTCACTACCCACTACTGGCTACTCGCTATTCGCTACTCACTTATCACTACCCCTACTCACTACTCACGACTCACTACTCACTATCCACTACTCACTACCCGCCACCCACTACTCGCTACTCACTACTCCCTACTCACTACTCCCTCCTCCCTACTCACTACTCACTAGTCAATCCTCACTACCCACTACTCAATACTCACTACTCACTAAGCACTACCCACTACTTCCTACTCATTACTCACTAATCACTACTCATTACCCACTACCCACTTTCCATACTCACTACTCACTACTAACTGCTCATTGCCCACAAATCATTACTCACTACCCACTACTCGCTACTCGCTACTCACTACTCCCTACACAATAATGACTACACAGTACTCCTGTACTCACTACCCGCTACTCCCATAATCGGCACTCAATGCTCATTAGTCACTCCCCGCTACTCACTATTCACTGCTCGCGAATTACTACTCCCTACTCACTAGCCACTACATAGTCTCTAGTCACTAGTCACAACTCACTAGTCACTAGTCACTAGTCACTACCCACTACCCACGACTCACCAATCGCTACTCACTACCCACTATTCGCTACCCACTCCATACTACTCACTGCTCACTACTCCCTACTCCCTACTCCCTACACACTACTCACTACTCGCTACTCCCTAATCGTTCCTCACTGATCACTACCCACTACTCACTACTGAGCACTCTCTACTCAATTCTCACTACTCACTACGCCCTACTCGCTCCTCACTACTCACTACTCGCTACTCCCTTCTCGCTACTCACTACTCACCACCCACTGCCACTACCCACTACTCTCTACTCATCACTACTCACTACTCACTACGCACTACGTACTACTCAATACTCACTACTCACTACTCACTACTCACTACTCACTACTCGCTACTCACTACTCACTACTCACTTCTCACTACTCACTACTCACTACTCACTACTCACTACGCACTACGCACTACTCACTCCTCACTACTCACTCATCACTAGTCGCCGCCCACTACTCGGTACGCACTAACTCGCTACCAACTACGTATTACTCCCTACTCCCTACTCAGTACTCACTACTCGCTACTCGCTACTCACTACTCACAACCCACAACTCGCCACCCACTACTCACTTATCAGTATACACTACTCACTATTCACTACTCGCTAACTCCCTTTTCCCTACTCTCTACTCGTTCACTCCTCACTATGCACAAACTCACTACTCACTACTCCCTACTCGCTACTCCCTACTCCCAACGCAGTACTCCCTACACGGGGGGGGGTCCGACCCCCCCCTCCTTTCCAACGCCAATGGGGGGAGGGGGGGAGGGGGGTCCGGACCCCCCGCCCCCCTTTAAGGGAGGGGGGGGGGTCGGGACCCCCCCCCCCCTTAAGGGGGAGAGGGTGGGGGTCCGGACCCCCCCCCCCCCTTGAAGGGGGGGAGGGGGGGGGAAGTTCTGGACCCCCCCCCCTAAGTGTATTCAGGGAGATCCACTGGCGCACTTTCGGAAACTAATATTGCTTAAATCTTGATTCAGACAATTGACGTTCAGAAGCTAGATACTGAAAGCTCCATCCTGAGAAGGGCTGCTGAAGCTCAGGCCCAGCGCGGGCCCTCAGAAAACCCATCCCTTGTCGAGTGGACAATACAAAACTATGGCGACCTCGTATCGTCCACAATGGACAAGTAGCCATGATGGCCGCGCGCGCCGGCCTGGCACCAGCAGGAGTTCAGCCCGCAGTGCTAGGGAGACGACTCTGAACAAACTCGCGGATCAAAACGAAGCAATTCCCATTGTAATGCTCGTGGTAAAGTGCTCACAAATCTTCCCGCGTGCAGGGTCGCCCACAGCAAAATTATCGCGCTGGAGAAAAAAAAACAAGCATTACTCAGCCCGCCCAACAATACGGGAAAACTAATCGCAAGTCGCTGCGCGCGCCGACCAGGAACCAGCAGGAAATCTGCAGCAGTCCTGGGCAAACGGGTGTGCGCAAAAATCTCACAGCAAAACGGGGCAATTCCTATTGCAATCTTCGTGAGAAGATGCTCGCAAAATCTCCTGCGTGCAGGGTTACCCACAATAGATTATTCAGCTGGAGAAATAACCCCCTAACATTACCCAACCCGCCGAACACTAGAGAGCCAGCAGGAGTTCTGCCAGCAGTGCTGGGCAAACGAGCTTGCGAAAAGAACACGCCCAAGCATTATCCGGCCCTCCCGACAGAAGAGAGGAACTAATCCCGCGTCGCCGAGCGTGCCGACCAGGCGCCAGCAAGAGTTCTGCCATCAGCCCTAGGCAAACGACTTTGAGCAAACTCGGGGATCAAAACAAATCGATTCCAACTGCATTCCTTATGAGAAGATGCTCACGAATCCTCCCGCGTGATGGAGAAATAACCCCCAAACGCACGTCGCCGCGCGCGCGGACCAGGAGCCAGCAGGAGTTCTGCCAGCAGTCCTGGGCAAAAGGGTGTGCGCAAAATCGCACAGCAAAACGAAGCAATTCCGATTGCAATCCTCATGTGAAGAGGCTCTTTAATCCTCCCGCGTGCAGGGTAGCTTACAATGTATTATTCCGCTGAAGAAATAAGTCCCAAACATTACCCAAACCGCCTAAGAATAGCGGGAAAACAATACCCACCGCGACGAGGAGGTTCTAGGACAAGTTCCATTCACCACCGAAAGATCAAGGGGGGGTCAAAACCAAAAACTTCGGAGGATCACGCGGATTTCTTGGATCGGCGATGGACCCCTTCCCAGGCGCGCGGAGCACGCCAGGGGCGGCGCCGGAGGCGCCGCCAGAGGGCCCAGCGCCGATCCAAACAATCCGCGCGGAGCTCCGAAAAATCGTGTTTCTGCCAAAGTTTCGTGTTCGATGTCAGGACGGAAGGCCTCGGGGCTTGTCAAGAACGCCTGCCAGGTCGCCGCACGTGGCCGTGGAGAGATCTGAGAAGGCTTCTCAAAAGGTCGGAGGCTTATCCTCCTCCTCCTCCTCCTCCTCCTCCTCCTCCTCCTCCTCCTCCTCCTCCTCCTCCTCCTCCTCCTCCCCGTCCCCGTCCCCCTCCCCCTCCCCCTCCCCCTCCTCCTCCTTCTCCCCCTCTGCCTTTGCTCCTGGGCGCGCCGCCGATGCCCAGGCTCTCGGGAGCTGATCTCTGGGTCTGGACTCGAGACCGTTCCGCAGAGCCTGCAGAAGCGCGGTTGCTGGGGCCTGCGGCGACCAGCGGCCCCACCAACCACAAACTTAGACGTGGCCTCCTCCTCCTCCTCCTTCTCCTCCTCCTTCTCCTCCTCCTCCTCCTCCTCCTCCTCCTCCTCCTCTTTCTCCTCTTCTCCTCCAGTTGATCCTCCTCCTGCTCCTCCTCCTCCTTCTCCTCCCGTTGATCCTCCTGGGGGGACAGGCGGGCGACGAAACCACAGAGATCTCAAGCTCAGGCTGCGTTGTTTCGTCTGCTGGCCGTCTATCAAGTTTCGCAATTCGGATCTTTACGCTGGTCTCTCGAAGCGGAGTTGATGTGTAGCCCCACGGGGCCGCCCCACAGCGACCCATCTTCAAAAACACAACACATTGATGGTGCCAATGCGGCCCATCGCCAGCTGACGCCATCTCATAGGGCGACCCACCTGGCGGATGAACCATGGACTTGAAACTTGATACGAGCCTATGAACTGTGCGAGGTTCGCTGGTACCCCAAAGACGCCAGGACAGCAAGCCAAGCTGTTTGAATAGACCACGCAAGTCTGCCGCTGCCCTGCTTGGCCACTGCGTGGGCATTGCGCACCGCGACCTGCTGCTCATACTTGCCAGAAGCATTCCCATGGATACACCGAAAGGATGCTCCGCCATGTATTTGCTTGGCTGCAACACGCTTCGCAACTGAGTTGAGACCCCGGCTTCGGCAGGAAATTTGGGAAGAAGGGGGAGGATGTGACATGCGACGCGGGATATATCCATATCCACCGCCTGGGAAACCAAAATCCTGGAACCCAAGGTGGCGGCTGGTATGGATATAGATACGGATCCCTTCCCAAGCAGTGTCTGCATGTAGGGATCGCACGTCAATTCTAAGAAATTGGGCCTGCCTGTCGGTCTGGCGGTTATGATGTTGCCGTCGCCGTTCCGTCGCCACTTCGTCGCCGCCCGTCGTCTGGGCCTGTCCGTCGGTCTGGCGGCTAAGTTGTCACCGTCACCACCTAGCCGACGCCTCGTCGCCGCCCGTCGTTTGGGCCTGCCTGTCTCACCTGGAAAGGGGAAACAACTATATATATATATATATAATATATACACAAAAAACTGCCGCAGAAGCGGCGATCTGATTTTTCTGTCGATTTGGCCCGACCTGGACACAACGCGATATCGCAGTTTGTCGTTCGCCACATCGCTAAAACTCCAACGCTGCATTGCGCGCGTGGGTCCGCAACACACACCCACCCTACCAGACCTCGCCATGATGCACCGCGATACGCTGCCTCATCCGCCCAGAAATGGTCGACGCCATCAGCGTCCGATTTTGCCCCCGGTTTTGCACCCGATTTTGCGTCCGATTTGCGTCCGATGTTGCGTCCGATGTGCGTCCGATTTCTGTATCAGTTTCACTCCGATTTGCGTCCGGTTTACTTTAATATTGAATCGACACGCAAAAAATCGGACGCGAAATCGGTCGCAAAATCTGCCGTTTCTGGGCGCACTTCCGGGCGCTCTTTCGGGCGCTCTTCCGGATTCGCGTCTGGGCCATATTCTGGGCACTCTTGATGGCGCTTTCCTGGGCGCTGTTATCGGCACTCTTCTGGGCTCGCCCGGGCGCTCGCCCCAGCGCGCTCCCAGGCGCTCTTCCGGGCGTTGTTCTGGTCGCCCCCAGCGCACCTTCTGGACACCAGGCGCGCGCCCAATGTGCATTGTGAAAACCGACCCCCCCCCAAAAAAAAAAAAGAAACCATAAGAACATCTGCTCTGCCACCGCGGCGAAGTTAACCTGTCGGTTTGGCGGCCATGCGCTCGCCGTCGCCGCCCCGTCGCCGACTCGTCGCCGCCGCAAAAACTGCACAACCTCCACGTAAATTCATAGACGAGCCAGCCTGGGCCCAAAACCGCATTTGTGTAGCCATCTATGGTGCGCAATGCAGGTGGTGCAATCGATGATGTGCAATAAATGTTGTGCCATTGATATCTAGACAAATGCCAAGCTCTTACAAACGCCCCACCCTCCCACAGCAACTTGGCTTGCAAAACCCATGCGGCGGCGCGCACAGCGGCCTGCCAGGTTGGCGCGGCCGACGCGGCCGCGGTGGCGCTGACCGCTGTGCACCTCCCACAGCGGATTTCCGTGCGAGTCGGTGACTTGGGCGGGCGCGGTACCATGGCGACGCCGACAACGGCAGACACGATTATGAGCATAGCGATGGTGGTGACGACGGTGGCGATGACGACGGCCGACTACGAAGATGATGTCCTCGCGTCGGCGATGAGGGCTTTTGTAAGAGTTCCACATGCGCGCGCGGCCGACGCGCGCGAGTGACCCACGAGGTACTATTTGAAACGGATCGTGCTCCCCCCCTGCACGCGCGCAAGGGCGCTCGCATGAGTTCTAATGCCGGCGCGAGGGGCCCGCTTGACAAAACTTGACGAAAAAAATGCAAAGTGATGGTTCCCTTAAAACGCCGCAGGACCGCGAGCGCAGGACTTCGTGAAAACTGACGTTGGCAAACCATGCGTTGTTTTGTATACGTCTTCGGGACACTCGTTTTTGAAACCCCTCCGAAACTCAAAGTGTTTTGTCAGATTTCGGCGCGCGCGCGACGGCGCGCGCGAGCGCACTTCGCCCCATCTGTTGCAAGGGATTCTTGCGACAGCACGCGCAAAAGGACGTTCGAGCGACTTTACCACGCACGAGCAAGAGGCCCGCTTAGTAGAATGTCAGGGATATGTTGAAAAAGCACGGGAGCTATTTTTTCCTGCAAACAGCTGGTGCGAAACAATATTTTGTCTCTGCTTTCGTGACACTCGATTTTGACATCCCCACGGAACCTGCAGATTGTTTTGAAAAATCTGGACACGCGCGCGCGACGACGCGCGCGCGTGCACTTCGCCCCGTTCGCTGTACAAGAAATCTTGGAAACTGATGAGCTGTTATAAACGAACGCGCGCGCATAGCATTTGCAGCGGATGAGAGGAGAGGGCGATGCCGGCCTGCGTGGGATGGTACGAATTCACTTTCAAGATCGGCCGATGGGGCCAAACCAAATTCAACCTGCAATACGGACAAGTGTACCGTGAACTCCGCGGAAGGCGGGGCAGATCTTCATGGCGTAGTGCAATTGATTTGTAAAAAACAAATTGGCACATGCAAACATCCCACACACCCACCCGCAAATTGGGGTGCTTAACCCATGCGGCGGCGATTGCGATGAATGCTCGGCGCTGGCTGGCACATCTCTGCGGCCGCGCTACGGCCGCGGTGGCGCTGACTGCTGGGCGCTTCCCACAGGGCACTTGGGTTCGAGTCGGTGACTTGGGCAGGCGCGGCATCGCGGCGACGCCGACAGCGGCGAACGCGGCTACGTGCATAGCGATGGCGGTGACGATGGCGGCGATGACGACGGCGAGGCCAATGACGGCGCCGACGTTGATCGCGCCCACTCACAACGATGACGATGTCCTCGCGTCGGCGACGCAGGTTTTGGAAGAAGCTTGACATACGCGCGCGGCCGACGCGCGCGATAGGCCAGCGCTGTATCACTTGACGCGGATCGCCCCCCGCCCCCGCAAGGGCGTTCGAATGAGTTCGGCATGCGGCGCGATAAGCCAGTTTGGCAGGATTGGCAAGAATAAATGAAGCGTTGGTAAACCTATGCTTCCCCTAAGAATCCGCAACAACGCGAGCCCGAAATTTACGAAAAACGAGATGTTGCAAAACTATGTGTCGTTAGGTTCCGGGGCGCTCGATTTTGAAATCCTTGCGGCGACAAAAACTTGCGCCCATGGATTTCGGCGCGCGCGACGACGCGCGCTCGTGCATGTCGCCCTATCTCCTACAAGGGGCCCTGGTGACAGCGCGCGCGCAGGGGCATTCGAACGATTTCGACGCGCGCGCAAGAGGCCAATTGGGAAGCATGTTACCATCATGTTTGGTTTGAAGAATGCTTTTTGAATGTTTATAAAATTAGGAAGGAAACCGATGGTTTTCTTCAGAAGTCGCGAGAGCGCGGGAGCAAAGTTCGATTGCAGATTATGGCTGTAAAGACATATGTGTTATATGTGTTCGTGACACTCGATGTTGAAACAACTTACGAAACTGATGGTATCATTTTAAGATTTTGGCATGCGCGCGCGCGACGACGCGCGCGTGTGCTGTTCGTCCCACCTGTTGCAAAGGATTCTTGAAAACTGATGATTTCTGATAAACGAGGGTGCGCGCATTTCTTTTGCAACGGATGGCGGGGGGTGTCGATGCTGGCCAGGCAGGCGCGGTATGAATCCATATGTAATATGGACAAGGGGTCAGAATCATATGGAAGTTACTTATCGCAAGGGGGGCGTTAACTCCGACCTCGGGATGAGGTTTGGTTCATTACTCGTTCTGAAAGGAGAATCTAAGCTGTGAGAAATAGCGCGCGTCAAGCGAGAAAACACAACTCGTGCAATCTGCATGCTGCAATATATGTGGAACGATGTACGTGGCACATGATAAGCGGCGCAATACATGCGGTAAATTTAGCGCGTCGCAATTTGCGTTGCGCAACCTGTTTTTTGATATATATATATATATATACAAATAAATAAATATAAGTATGTATGTATACATATACATACATATGTCGAATCTATAGTTATGCCAAAAATGAACATATACATCTACATATACATGTATGCATGTATGTAGATATGTGAATATATTCACAGAGTGTGAGAACTAGGCGTTGCAACACAGATGTTCTGCAATACGTAAATGTGTATACATATATATACACATATATATATATGTATATATATATGTATGTATACACCTGTAAGGTTGGAAAACCGTCGAGAGTCAGGGAAGGCGTCCGAACCTCAGGGGCCGCGTTCCGCTCAAAACCGCCCTTGACCGAAGAAAGCGCCCAGAACTCCAGGGCCGCCTTCACCCCAAAACCGCCGAGCACCGAGAAACGCGTCCGAACCTCCAGGGCCGCCCTCTGCCCTGACGGGCAACGATGGGGGGCGGGCCGGCTCAAGGGGGGAGCATCGACCCAGAATCGGAGATGTATCGACGAGAGAGCGGCGATGGGCCTCCGATCAGCAATGCGACGCACGGGCGGAGGTGGGCAAACGGGCTACTGGCGACGATGAAGGGGCGATCCGGGGTCGATGCACCCCCCTGAGCCCATCCCCCCCGACGATGTCCCTGACGTGGCGACCGTCTGGGCCGGAGATCACAGGGGATGTGTCGACCCCCATCCCAGGCTTCGTGGGGTTTCCGAATGGACCAGAAATTTTGGGCCAGACCCTGGGATATACGATGGGGGGGATGTCCATCCTCGATAGGGGTGCGTCCGAATAGCCCCCTTGGGGTGCATCCCAAGGTTTTCCCATTTTTCTGAGCGGCCAAACTTTTCGGGCGAAACTCGGGGATTGGGGGAGAAACATCGCCCGCGAGGAGACGCGCGCCGCCGGCGGAGCCCGGGCGCGCCTCCAGCTTGGCCCTGGAGGAGAGCGCACGCTGCAGCTCAGCCTGGCAGCGCTCGCGCTCCTGGCGGAGAGCGGGAAGGGCGGCGACGCCGCCGCCACCGCCGCCGACGACGACGACGACGGCGGCGAAGACGACAACGGAAAACAATGGCGACGACGACGACGAAGGCGATGGCGGCGAAGGCCGTGGCGGCGCAGGCGCTCGCGCTCTCCTGGCGGGGGGGGGTGGGCGGCGAAGACGGCGACGACGACAACGGACGACGGCGACGACGACGACGGTGGCGCAGGCGCTGGCGGCGAAGGCGAAGGCGGCGGCGGCGGCGACAGAACGAGTGGAGGAGGTGGAAAAGGAAACGGTGGGGGCACGGGCAAGGAGGGAGGGGAGGCGCAGATTAAGAAGGGCTGCGGCAAGGTGGGCGGAGCGGGGAATGAGAGGGGTAACGGAGCGGCAGGGATGGAGGCAGAAAGAAACGGGGTGAGGAGGGGGAGGGTCAGGACAAAGCAAGCTGGGGCATGGAGATCTGAACCCTCATCATCCCTCGTGCTCCTCCTCCTCCTCCTCCTCCTCCTCCTCCTCCTCCTCCTCCTCCTGCCCCACCCCCCTCCTCCCCATCCACCACCGCCTCCTCTGTTTGGCATGAAACAAACGAGTCCTGTGGGAAACGGGTATTGGACCCTGGGGCCACTCTCTTTCGGTTGTGCTCCACTGCACCTGCCACCCCCCTCACCATGCAATTCCTGGCCCAGAACTCACCGACGCCCAACCGCTCGCCCCGGCACCCCCGACTCTATGCAATCCTATCCTTGCCCCCCCCGCGACAGCTCCTAACCCAGAACCGTCCAACGCCCCCTTCCCTCGTCCTGGCATCCCCAACTCTGCGGAATCTTTCTCTTGGGAAACCCCACCCGCCAATTCCTGGCTCGGAACCAACTGGCGCCCCCACTCCTTTCGCCCCGGCATGCCCAAAACCTCAACTTGCATCCCAGGCACGACCAAGACCACCGCCGCGCCTGGCACCCCCACCCCTCCAGACCACCCCTCTGGACCTACTGTTCTTGGAACATTCCCCCTGAAAACTCTCGCTCGATATCGTCGAAGCTGACCCCACTGCGCCCGGCATCCCCACTTCTCCAGACCACCCCTCCAAGCCACGTGTTGTTGGGACCTCCCACCCTGGAATCTCGCCCGGACCCGACCCCTGCCCCCGCCGCGCCTGGCACGCCCACCACTCCAGACCACCCCTTCGAGCATGATGTCTCGGGAGCCTTGCGCGCCCCCTGGCACGACTGCGGCATGTCCCCCGGCACGTTCCGTGGCGCGTCGCCTGGAGCGGTCTTTGTCACGTTCCGTGGCGCGTCCCCTGGCACGACTGCGGCATGCCCCCTGGCACATTCCATGGCGCGTCGCCTGCCGCGGTCCACTGGCACGTTCCGTGGCGCGTCCCGTAGCGCGGCCCTCTGGAGCGTCGCGCGGCACGTCCCCTGGCACGTCCATTGGCACGTTCCGTGGCACATCCCCCTGGCACGTCGCGCGCCGCGTTCCTCTACACGTCTCCTGGCGCGTCCTTTTGGGACGTTCTGCGGCGCGTCCCGCTGGCATGTCGCGCGGCGCGTCACCGGGCACGTCCACTGGCGCGCCCCCTGGCGCGTCACTTTGTACGTCCCCTGGCGCGTCCCCTGGGAACCATCCTGGGACGTCACCCGACGCGTCCGCCAGCCCGTCCCTTGGCACATCCATTGGCGTTCCCCTGGCGCGCCCCCCTGGCGCATCCTGCGGTGGCCTTTTGCCTGGCACGTGGCGAAGCACGCCCCATGGCGCGTCCCACGGCAAGTCTCCCGGCGCTTGCCGCGACAAACCCCGTGGCGCGACCCGCGGCGCGTCCCGCAGCAAGTCACGTGGCGCGCCCCTGGCGCGTCCCGCGGCGCGTCCCCATGGCGGCCGGCATCGTCGCAGCATGGCACGATCGAGGCACGATACTCGAATTCTAGACGCTTCGCGTATCCCCACCAGCCCATCCAGAAACGATGCCCAGGCGAATGGAGGTGATCAGGGAAGTGAGGGAGCATACAGAGTAACACAGGGCCGGGGAACCCGTCTTACCGAAGACGGCGAGGATGGAGGAGGAATCGGAGAAGGATGAGGAGGAGGAGGAACTGAAGGAGGAGGAGGGGGAGCGGGAGGGAGGGAGGAGTGAGGAGGAGGAATAGGCGAATGAGGAGGAGGAGGAGGAGGAGGAGGAGCAGGAGGAGGAGAAGGGCGAGCAAAATGGCCAGAGGCTTCTTGGATGCCTCTCGGAGTCTCTTCGGATGTCTCTTGGGAGCGTCCTGAAGGCCTCTTAGGGCGTCTTGGGAGCGTCTTGGCGGTCCTGGAGGCCTCTTGAAGCGTATTGGGTGCCTCGGGGAGCCTTTTGAGGCCTCTTGGGGGTCTATTGGGAGCCTCTTGGGGGCCTCTTGGGGGCCTCTTGGGTCCTCCTGGGCGCCTCTTGGGGCCCTCTTGGGGCGCTCTTGGGGGCGCTCTTGGGGCCATCTTGGAGGAGATCGATCAAAGAAAGGGAGGGTCCTGATTCGCCCTGCCCCTTCTAGAGCGCCTAAAACTGCCTCTTCGGCCCCTCTTGGAGCGCTCTTGGGGCGCTCTTGGGCGCTCTGCGGGCCGTCTTGGGGCCATCTTGGGCCCCTCTTGGGGCCCTCTTGGGCCATCTTGGAGCCATCTTGAGGCCTCGAATGGCCATCGTACGCGAAAAGGCGAGAAAGCAAAAACCATGGATTCTCCTTGGGTGTTTGAAGGATGTTGGCCTCTTGGAGGCCTCCTGTGAAAGCTAGTTGGCCTCTTGGAGCCGTCTTGGGGCGGTCTTCGGGCCTATTGGAGCATCTTCGGAGCCATCTTGAGGCATCTGAGGCTAGCTTGAGCAATCTTGGAACTCATCTTGGGCTCCCCGAGGCGCTCTTGGAGCCGTCTTGGACGCTCCAACGCGTCGCGGAACCCCCCGTCCAGGTCCAGGGGAGGGGGTTAGGGGGAGGGGTAAACCCCTCCCCGAAGGGGAAGGAGGGGACATGGACGAGGAAACTCCCTAAACCACCTACGCCCAGAGAGCTGGTGGGATTAGGAACTGTGGTATCACATCAGAGCATGGCGCGACACCAACGAGCCCATGCACGGCTCTAAAGAGAAGAGCACAGCTCAACGCAGCACGACGCAGCATAGTCGTAGGTCACAGCACGGGCCAATCACAATTTGCGTCACCCATCTGGTTATCTGTGAGGGGCCTGGTCCCCTCAGAGTGCGGCTCCCTCGTCGGGAGACACCATGCGGCTTCAAGAGGGCAAGCCACGGCGTGTGCGGCTCGTCGCCGTTCTGATGTGCCTTGTCTTGCTTCGTGTCAGGTCGGTTCGGCCTTGGTGTCGATTCGTCTTGCTTCGATCGTGTTGATGCATTTCGTCGTGTCTTGGCTCGCCGCGCTTCGGTCCGCCTATGATCAGTGCTTTTCGGGCTGGTTCGGGATCGTCCCCCCTCAGCTCGTCCCGCTTCCGAACTGAATCGGATATGGAGCTCGAGTTGGTCGAGCGTCCCGCGCGCCACGACTGCAACTAGCTCGAGCTATTCGTCCAGGCAGCCCTGGCTCAAGATCTAGATCAGTTCGGTCAGGACTTGTGGCGTAAAGAGCGTCCTGATCCACAACGCAAAGGAGAAATTCGCCGGCCCAACGGGCCAGAGGCGTGCTAAGATCTCCGGTAACTACTAACAATATTTCTAGTTCGCGCGCGCGGGGCGGCCCCTGGGGGCTCCCGGACGAAAAGTACCCAGCTGACCCCCAGGAGATCTCCAGGAGGGAGGCTATTTTCGCCACCCCTCACGAGGATCTTGGCCTCCGAGGGGGTGGCTGCAATCGACTCCCCCCCCTCCTGCGGCCCCCAAGAGCCCCCTAAGAGGCCCCAGGGGAGCCCAAGACGCCGCCGAGGAGCCCCAAGAGACCCCCAAGAGACCCCCAAGAGGCCCCCAAGAGGCTTCAAAGAGGCCCCATAGAGCGCTCGAGGGCCGGCGGAATGAGCGAAGCGATTGAATATACAGCTCAACGCGGCATGGCACATTTCAGTGCAGCACAGCACAGCACAGCACAGCACAGCCGCTGGCAAAGCCCATCACTATAGGCACGTAGAACCTTGCAACTGCCCATCGACCAACTCTCGCCTCCTTAAAAAGTCCCCACGCGCTTCACTTCTGTATCCCTTTCCGGGTTCGACCGTGCATCCACGACGCGAGAAAGGGCCTGGGGGCCCGCCCCGAGCAGCACCCGGACGCCCCCGCCGAGCTCGGGCGGGACCCCCGGCGACCGCCGCACGCCGCCGCCCGGCATCCCGGAGGCGCGCGGCGGGCCTTGGCGGCGTCGTCGAACCGCTTCGCGGCGACGACCTCGGGGGGGGGGGCGGAGGGGGGAGGGGGGCAGAGGGAGCGGCCACCAACTGGGCCCCGTCGAGGGGGCAGAGGGAAGAAGGGAGACGAGTGAGGAGGGGGGTCTGGGAGGAAGGGCGCGCAGGATGCAGGAGGGGGCAGAACTTCATCGGCTGAAATCCGGAAACACATCTAGAATGCTTGTAATTCGCGCGCGCACGTGGCTGCCCCTGCGGGTCCCCGGCCGGAAAAAAAACCATGCAAATCCCGGGCGGTCCCCAGGCAGTCCCCATCACGGATGCCTGAAATCCTGGGGACTACCTTCAGGGCCTTCAAGAGCGTCGCAAAAGGCCCCGAAGGCGGTCTAAGAGGACCCAGGGTCACCGGAAGTCGTTCCAAGATGCCCAAGATAGCCTCCAGACGGCTACAACTGCCTCCAAGACGCCCGAGGATGCCTCCAGGACCACTCCCAAGAAACCCCCCTGATTTGCCAGGGGTACTTGAAGGTGTTCAGTGTTCTCACCTCTTCGGCGGCCGACGCTGTGGAACGACCCAGCACCTGCCGCACCACCTGCCTTTTTCCAAGAGGTCCGGCAACCTGCCGTGCTCCTCGCGCGATGGCGTCGGCACGGCCGCATCCACCCCCTGACGCCTCACCTGCGCCAGCTCCTTGTGCGCCAGCCTGCCAAGGATCATGGATTTGGCCAGGGTGGCTGGGAAGCGCGAGGGGCGAGGATACTCGTGGGCTGACAAAGGTGGTTCCCCAAGCGCAGCCAGGAACGACTCCATCAGGAGACCCAATCTGGAAGGGCGTCCATGATGAGCCGCGGTGCTTGCAGTGCCACCAATGCCACTCGTTCGTTTGCAACCACGGTCGGGGCATGCCCAGCGAGGGGGCTCAGCACAACTGGGCGACTGGAGCCCAGATGTCAGCGCTGCCCACGGAGGAGGTGGGCTAGGGCCACCGCCAGCACCGTAGCTGCCGAGCGAGAACGCAAGCTCATGAGCGCCATTGCCCTTTCCTCTTTTGCCCAGAACCTTCCCGCCGACGCGGCCGTCGCCTTTTACCGCCACCGCCCAGCCAGGGCGCCATATTAGCTTCGCAATGCGAAAGAAAAGTGGAGGGAAACGGTCCCAGACCGCAAGCTTTAACTCGCAGGCGCCCAATAGACCACAAAACGGATGTACCTCACCACTCCATCGAATCAATTTGTTGGAATGGCCTCAAACATCAATGCGGCGCTGGCCTTGAGGAGAGAGAGTTGATTTGCTGCCCACTATCAGTTGTTCTTAGTACCGCAGGAAACAATCAAGGAGGGAGCGGTACGGTGCGAGCCTAGTAGCAGTCACCCGAAGCTTCATGGCCTCTAGCGCGTTTGGCAGAAAGACGCATCCAGCTCTACGATTTATGCCATCAGACCTTGACCAACAGGTATTTCAGCTAGCCCGCAGTCAGATAGTTGGGCGCCGAGAACTTCAGCCGAAAGAGACTCTCGCCCAGGCGAGTGGTTTCGAGCGCTGCTGCCCAAGACATGGGGCCCGATCCCAAACCCTCCCGACGAAATGATCTGGAACATGCTTTCGGAGTCCGTCAGAGGCTTGCGGCCAGGGTGGGCCGCTGGTTGGAGCGAGGGACGCCGTCGAGGAGGCCTTGCTCGAAGGACGAGCGCCTCAGACTGGTGCCCGAGCACAGTAGGGGCCCGACTACAAGAAACCTTCCACTCGAAACCCAACCCTGAGACCCCAGGGCGTCCATTGGTGTTTGGTGTGGGAGAATCACGCCGTCCATAGCAAAACCATCGAAACCCAAGAAAGCGAGGGCACCCTGGAAGCAAGCAGGGTGTTTGTTGGCATGGGTCCCCACTGTACGTCCAGTTTCGAGTCCTGACCCCGCAACTCTTGAGCTTGCCACTGGGGACGGGACGGGACGGGCGCCGATGCCGCTCCTGGTGCGCGCGGGCCGGGGGACGCCTCCCTTGGAGATCTGCGGACCCTCAGTCCCGTCGCTTCTCGTCTGTCCAGTGGCGTCGTTAGGTGACCACATGTGAGCCCTACCCCAGCCCCCCACGATGTCTAAGGGGGGGTGGGGATAGGGCTCACATGTGGTCACCGAGTCGTGGACCATGCGGCCGCCCCGTCAGGAAGGATGGGGAGCCCACAAAAGACGTACGCGCCCAACCACGTACACGAATACGGCCCCCCAGTCCGCGAGACCGATCTCATGTTACACACGTCGCGCAGTGCATACTTCCGGAAACAGCGTCGATTCATGTGGCGCTCCTGAAAGGAGGGAGCTGGGAAAAGGAAGGGGACTCCCAGGGATTCGCCGCTCCGTCAGCAGAGGCGAGCTGTTCGCCCGCTATCGATCTCCCAGAGCGGAGCGGCACGATCGAGGAAGTCGGAGTGAGAAACGTGGCTCCCCGAGAGTGGCAGGGCACAGGCCGCCAGCCAGTCGTGTCGACATGTGGATGGGGGGATCCACAGCCTTCCTCCAGCAAATGAACCCGTTATCTCGTGGAAAGGGCTCGCCAAAAGATGGAAGACCGCCCCGGCAAGTGGCACTCACCCGGCCGCTGTTCTCGCCGAAACGTCTGCCGATGTGCTTGCCGATGCCATCAGCCCGAGCGTGCAGGTGTCGGGGGGGAGGGGGGCGCTGCTGCTCTGACGGCGGCCGTGGTCGTGGCTCGGAGGAGCCGCGCCGGTCTCGCTGCCACGCTTTAGCACGCAGAGCAGGCCTCCAAGAGCTCGTCAGTTGCGCATCGGTCGCAGGCGCAGACAAAACATGGAAAAGCTGACACAATCAGAGCATCGAGTGGTGTACGATGTCTACGGGCATCTCCGTTACACTGCTTGCCGCTCAACTGTTCGTCGCTCAATATGGGTAGCTTGGCATTCCGCACCGTGAGGAAAATATTGATACTGCAAGCCGTGACGGGCTCACGGAATGTTTAAAGCAGAGGTAGCCCGAGGTGCAGCAAGTCAGACATACAAGAATGTCCAGGCTGATGTATAGCCTCACGGAAGTAATGATCATCCTCGTCTTCTATCCGATCTACAATTGCGAAATCTGCTGTCCTAAATCCCCTGGCGGTGACTTCATCATTGCCCGTCCATATCGCATAATTACATGTTTCCCTACACAGGATTGTCCAAGAATGGCTGTCGACATCATTTGCTCGACTCCTTCATTCTAACAGCCGTTCACACGTTTCACTCTCCCTACACCGTTTGCCTCCTTTGACGATCTCCAAAGAGCCTTCGTCCAACTGAACGACGGTCTCGCCGTAACGCTGGTCTCACCCTTGGGAACGCGATCACGCTTTTGGGTGTGTCCTCCTGCTCGTGGTCGTCATCCGTGCTATCCTCACCCGATGAAGTTCGTGATATCCTTTATGTGATCCCGCCCCCATCCCAGTCGTCGCCCGCCTCCACGCCTTCCTTTTCACCTCGTTGGTCCCTTTCCTTCCTCGTCGTCACCACCAGTCCAGCCTCCTCTTTCGCCTTCGCTCGCCCTCCTTCTCATCCCTCCTCCTCCTCCTCCGCCGCCGCATTCTCCTCCCCGTCCCCCCCCCCTCCGCCTCTTTCTTGCCCTTCCAGCCCTTGACTCCCAGGGGTAAAGGTTCTGCTTGGATTAGCTTGCCTGTTCGGGATCAAGGCCTATGCCGACACCCAACTCTGAGAATAGAAGGGGCCCAGCGCAAGGGAGAGGGACGTGAGAGGGGAATGAGTCCGCAACGGTTCTACACCCTACCCCACAAACGAGACGGTCCAGCACACAACCGTGGAATTCGGTGGGCTGGTGCTTCGTGGGCCCCAGAAACGGCAGGGCCGTTTTTTTCACCGTTTCCAGAAAATGTCCCTTGAAACTGGAAACGGCAAAAAAAAAGCGACGGGAAACGGCAAAAAACGGCAAAAACCGGAGCCGGAACCGGTCAAAAAACGGCGTCGGCACCGGCGAAAAAACTGCAAAACGGAACCGGTAAAAAAACGGCCCTGTGGTTTCCAGGGCCTTCTAAGGGCTGGTGTACAACAGAAGTGCCCCCCCGGGCGCGCGGCTCCTGCCCCAGAAGCAAGCTTGGTCCAGCACATGGTGCGTGCGCGGGAGAGGGGGGGGGGGGGGCGGGGGGCCACAGATCGACCCCCAGGGCAGGACACCAGACGTGGCGCGACCGCCCATCCCCTGCCTCCCCCCCCCCCTTTCCTGGGGGGAGAGGGGGGGGTTAGGGATAGGGGGGAAACATCAACCTGGAATCGGGGGCACGTCGCCGATGAATCGGTGATGAGCCCCCGATGGTGAAGCCGCACCTTCATGTTCAGGTTGGGGCCATCGGGCGTCGATGCACCCCCCCTATGCCTATCCCTCCCTTCTCGTTGCCCCCGATCTCCTCGCCCCAGCTGGACGCGGGGGGCTGGCCTTAGGTCGGGCACGTCCCCCATAGATAGGCGGATGTTGGAAGAAAAGATATAATGTAGATTGCTTAATAATGTGCTGATATGAATATAGATACATAGATATAAGAGAGAGCGTGATCCACCGCCGCTTTACTGTGGAAAATTGCCGCCATCTTCCTCCGGAACCCGGGGTTCCCCCCCCCCCCTCCGAAAATCCCCCCCCCCTGCTGGACCCCTCCCCCCTTTGCCCCGGCAAACCCTCCCCCTCCCCTAAACCCTCCCCCTCCCCCCCCCCCCTCGAACTCGAAAACCGGGGGGGGTCACTACCGGTTCGAACCTCCCCCCCCTCTCTCGAAAACTGGAGGGGGGGGTCACTACCGGTTCGAACCACTGAGCTGTCCCACTGTTCCCACCACTGTCCCCACTGTCCCCACCACTGTCCCCACTGACCTTGTCCCTTTGTCCCACCGCTAGGTTCGAGATCCACAGAGCTGTCCCACTGTAACCCACCACTGTCCCCCCTGTCCCACAAATGTCCTCCACTGTACCTCGTCCCCTTGTCCACCGCCGTACTCGCAAAATACATATTGTTGACCGCCCAACCACCACTGTACCCTCCACTGTCCTACTGTTTCCACCACATTCCCACTGTCCCCACACCACTGTCCCCACCACCACCGTCCCCACCACTGTCCCAGAGTCCCCACTGTTCCCACCATTGTCCTCACCATTGTCCCTACCACTACCGTTCCCACCACTGTCCCACTGTCCCCACCACTGTCCCGCTGTCCCCTCACCACTGTCCCCACCACCACCGTCACCACCACTGTCCGCACCCCCCCTCGGTTTTCGAAGGGGGGGGGGGTTCGAACCGGTAGTGACCCCCCCGGTTTTCGAGCTCGAGGGGGGGGGGGTTCGAACCGGTAGTGACCCCCCCCCCTTTTCATGATGAACTGGGAGGGGGGGGGGGAGGGGTTCGAACCGGTAGTGACCCCCCCCGGTTTTCCGGAGGGGGGGGGGGGGAGGGGTTCGAACCGGTAGTGACCCCCCCCGGTTTTCCGCTAGCAGCGGTAGAACACGCTCTTTCTCATATCGGAATCGAGGGCTTGCGCTCACGCAGATCCGTGTCGAGTCGCGCACGTGCTGGCTTGCTCTGGGCCGTAACCACTCGCGCTGAGATGAGCACCCTGAGTCTCGAACATGTTCTCATGGGGGCAAGACGAGGCGCCCGCCTTCCCACCCGCCCTTTTCCTCACCCCCCTCTTGCTCTATCTCTCTCATTGCTATATTATCTGTCCATCTCTCTCTCGAGCCTACCCCCCTCCTCCCTCCCATCCACCGCCTCCTCCTCCTCGTCCTCGCGAACAGGGTCGGCGGTACTGGCCGTACAGTCGGGGCGTTGACCTAAGGAACCCTAAATCAGGAACGAGGCCCCCTTTTCTCCATAAGTTCACCTTCGATTTCCGGTCGAAGACATGAGGAAAGCCTGAGGCAAGCTGTGAAACACTTGAGGAGCGCGGAGCCCCTCCCCAACGAAAAGGGTTCTCCAGATTTCGTAATAAAAGGGAGGGGGTCTGGACCCTCCAAGACAAGCCATTTCAGACCCCCCCCCGTGGGAGAATCCTCCAAAACATCGTCCCCAGACCCCCCCAGGCCCTCCAAGATAGCCTGGAAGAGACCCCCCCCGAAATGAGACCCCCCTCCCTTTCTTACGAAATCTGGAGTTCCTTCTTCAGGGCCCCGACTGTAAGGCCTTCGCAGGATGCCCCCAGGAGGCAAGCCGACGGCTGACGAGAGGCCACCGACGAGGCCCTCGGAGGCAGCGCGCGAGAGCGCCGCACCCGGGGCGCGGCGGCGGCTTTCTTGCGCGGCGCAGCGGGGCAGAGGCGGAGGAGAGCGGGAGGAGAGGAGGAGGCAGGAGGAGGAGGAGGAGGAGGAGGAGGAGGAGGAGGAGGAAGAGGAGGAGGAGGAGGAGGAGCAGGAGGAGGAGGAGGAGGAGGAGGAGGAAGGGAGGAGGAGGAGGGAGGAGAGAGGGGGGAGGAGAGGAGGGAGGTGGAGGAGGAGGGGGGAGAGAGGGACGAGAGATGGAGGAGAGAGGGAGGAGAGGAGGAGGGGGGAGGCGACGGGGCGGGAGGAGCACGGCTGCCCAGAGGCTGCCCTTCACATCGCACCATCGACCGAATCTCCCTGCAGGATCGAGCCCATCGAATCGAGCTAAACCCCATCTTTGTGGATGGACAGACCTCCCTTGAGTAAAACGTGGTTTAGTGAAAACGACCTGAGGCCCAAACCTGGCGGGCGCAGGCCTGGAAAACGACGGCCACGGCGCCCCCTCGAGAACCGAAGACGGCCAATTCACTAATCGACGTGTCAGGGCAGGAGGTCTGTCCACCCCCGACATCTGTGGAGGGGGAAATCGCCGTTGGGGGGGGGGGGCGAGGTCGAAGCGATTGCTACCGCGCGGGGGGCATCGGCGGGCGGCCCCGCCACAGCCCTGGCCGCTGCAGATCAGGTCAGGTCAAGTGATGGCCGCGTTTACCATCCACTCCTCCTCCTCCTCCTCCTCCTCCTCCTCCTCCTCCTCATCCTCCTCCTCCTCCTCCTCCTACCGAGCGGATCGGAATCGCGGGCGGCCCCGACGGAAGGCGAGGATCGGAGGGCGGGCCCGGGGGGGAGGTGAGCGGGGGCAGGCCTGCTCAGAAGGCGGCGGGGCCTCTCAGAAGAGGCCCCAGGACACACACATAGAAACACACACACAAAACTACTCCCCATATTATTTCCGACATGTTCTGGGTTTCTGTCTTCCCCCCCCCACTTCCCATAATTTCCTCCCATATTTTCTGGGGGATCGAGGATTAATTGGGTTCGTGTGTTTTTTCCTCTCCCGATTCTCAGAAGCCCTCGGGCCTTCTGAAAAGTCACCCTTGTCTTCGGAGGAGGCTCGGAAAACTCCCTCCACAGAAGGACCGGGGGGCTTCTGAGAAGCCCCGCCGCCTTCTGAGAAGGCCTGCCCCCTCTCACTTCCCCCCCGGGCGCTCCGCCGAGAGGAGAGGAGAAGACAGGGGCCTGGCTTCTCTGAGGGGCGGCCAACACACCATCCGCCCGGCTCGAAGTTGTGCGGTGCTGCCTCCGCGGACTCTCGGAGTTACCGTCGGCCGGCTTGAACTTCTGGCTGATGAGCTTGGCCATCCCCGCCGTCTGCGGTATCAACTCCTGGGCACCAGCGGGTACACCCTGCGAAATGCTTAAGAAATCATGGGTTAAGAAATTCATAGTCTCAGAAGTTGAATAAAAACCCAAAAATTCTATTCAAATCTTAGGATTTACATTGAAACATTAAGAATAAACGAGACTCTGGCCGAAAATTTAAGTTTTCTTAAGCATCGCCTAAGGTGTAAACGGGAGCAAGCTGAGCCACCGCTGCCCGTTCGTGACGCCAGCTCCCGGGCGCTGGCAACGACGAGTAGAATAGGGAGCCCACAAAGGACGTACGCGCCCAACTATGTACATGAACACGGCCCCTTGACCCGCGAGACCTGCCGCGCGATACGAACATTCGCGCAATGCGAACTCTCAAAACCAGCGTGGATTCATGTACATGTACGCCCTTCTTTCGCTCCTGATAGAAGAAGTCGCAGGCTGGACAGGGTGAATACTCGGGTCTGCCAGAAGTGCCGCTGGCCCAAGGTGCCCCCCAGGATTCCCAAGGAGGCCCAACGGCCTCCAGAGCACCCCTCACGAGGCCCCAGGAGGAGGCCCCAGGATCTCCGGAATTGGGGGAGAAACTGGGGGCACCTTGGGCCAGTTCAGCGACCCCCAGAAGATGGGCGACGGTGTCAACTGATGGCAGCAGGGCGCGGGGACGGCACTGGCAGCGGCAGCGGTGAGGGTCTTGAGAATCAGCTCACGCAGCTGATTTTCCCGGCGCCTCCCGGCGCCGGAGGCGCCCATGCATCGAGGACTGGGCCCCTTGGCGAGGCCGAAACTAGCTGCATGCAGCAAATTTCGTGACCCCCCTTTCCCAATCCCCCCCCTGATGGTCCGCTACCGAAAATTTCCGGTAGCGCTCCGCAGAGATCGGTCGCTACCGAAATACCGAAATGCAGCGCCCAATACCAGTATCAGAGCGTTCTGAAATCCGCTATTTCAACGCCCTCAAACGAAGATCCGGTCGCTACCGAAATTCGGGGTGCGTCGAAATCGCTACCGAAAATTTCCAGTACCAGACCATATCCCCCCCTTTCGTCCGGCCCGAAAAACGGCACATCGCGTCCAGCAGCACCTGTCCTCCCCCCGCCGTCGGACCCCAGAGGAAGGTCGAGCGGATCCACTTGCGGTTTTCTGGTTTTTGCTTCGGTGGACCCGACTTCCGTCCGCGCGGATCCGATTTCGGACTTTCTGGATCCGCGTCGGGCCTTTTTTTCTACGACGGATCCGACTTCTGCCCCGCTTCGAACTCTTATGTTATCAAATTAGAGCGGGGCACCGGAGGAAATCGGATCCGCGGACCCAGGAACCCGCCCGTGTTGAGATTGTGCGGGGGAAGGGGGTTCGGTCATCAACGTTCGGGGATGGACAGACCCCCCTTTAGTAAAACGTGGTTTAGTGAAAACGACCTGAGGCCCAAACCTGGTGGGCGCAAGCCTGGAAAATAACGGCCACGGCGCCCTCGAGAACCGAAAACGGACAATTCACTAATCGACGTGTCACTGTTGGGGGTTCTGTCCACCCCCGAAACGTCCCAGGATGGGCCCTGTGCTGTCGCGTGCGCTCCCCCCATGCGCTTTCCGCGCGCGGGGGCCCCCTTCAACATGCATGCGTACCTCCCACCTCCTCGAATCGGGGATGGACAGACCCCCCTTTAGTAAAAGGAGAGAGGAGGAGGGGAGAGGGAGGAGGAGAGGAGGAGGAGAGAGGGAGGAGGGGAGGAGGGGAGGGGGCGACGGGGCGGGAGGAGCACGGCTGCCCAGAGGCTGCCCTTCACATCGCACCATCGACCGAATCTCCCTGTAGGATCGAGCCCATCGAATCGAGCTAAACCCCATCTTTGTGGATGGACAGACCCCCCTTTAGCAAAACGTGGTTTAGTGAAAACGACCTGAGGCCCAAGCCTGGCGGGCGCAGGCCTGGAAAATAGCGGCCACGGCGCCCTCTCGAGAGCCGAAAACGGACAACTCACTAATCGACGTGTCACTGTTGGGGGTTCTGTCCACCCCCGATCGAATGCCTGGAATGCCTACCAGGAAACATTCCCCCGCAATACAAAACGCGCCTACATGGGCCTACCTTTCTGTCGGGCGTGTCCCTCCTACAGGGGGATTCTCGACGAAAAATTAAACACAAATGCCCCAAAAATGCCCCCAAAGGTCAGAAAATACTTACAACATTGCCCCCTGACTATTTTTGGATTATTGTTTGATCATTTTGTGGATTTTTTTTTGTTTTTTTTTTTTTCAAATTGCTTATTTTAATGTTTTTTTTTTGTTTTTAATTTATGTATTTATTAATTTATGTATTAATTTATTTATTTATTAATTTATACTTATGTATTAATGTGTATATATTAATTCATTTGTTTCAAACTGTTTCGTCGAACATCCCCCTGCAGGGGGTAGGCCCGACATAAGCCTACCTGCCGAGGAGCCGCCCCGAGGCAACACTGTTATTGGATTATTTTTTGATCATTTTGGATTATTGGCCCCTGACTATTTTTGGATTATTTTTTGATCATTTTGTTTTTTTTGAGCCGCCCCGAGGCAACACTACCCAGATGGTCTGGTACCGGAAATTTTCGGTAGCGATTTCGACGCACCCCGAATTTCGGTAGCGACCGGATCTTCGTTTGAGGGCGTTGAAATAGCGGATTTCGGAACGTTCTGATACCGGTATTGGGCGCTGCATTTCGGTATTTCGGTAGCGACCGATCTCCGCGGAGCGCTACCGGAAATTTTCGGTAGCGGACCATCAGGGTACACCTCGGGGGCACGGCAACTTCTCGCCGGCGGCCCCGGCGGCCCCAGCGGCTCGCCTCGGCGGCCTCCGGCGGCCCGCGCGGCGCACCGAATCCAGAGGTAATTCGGGCACCGCTCCTCCTGCTCGGACCCCCTCCTCCTCCTCCTCCTCCTCCTCCTCCTCCTCCTCCTCCATCTCCTCCTCCTCCTCCTCCATCTCCTCCTCCTCCTCCTCCTCCCCCTCTTCCTCCTCCTCCTCCTCCTCCTCCTCCTCCTTGTTCTGAGGCGTTGGCGTTACCACACGTTCTGAGGAGCATCGACGGTCTCCCCCCCCCCTGTTTCTAGGCCTCCTAGATGGGGTCCGAGTAGATGGGGTCGGAGGATCGCGCCGCATCGCCGACGCATCGACGATGCGGCTCGATGTGGAGCCCGTGTTTCCCACGTCGACGTCGCCGAGACATCGCCGACGCGTCGCGGACGCATCGCGGAGGCATCGCCGACACATCGGCGACGCATTGGCGATGCGGCGCGATCCTTCGACCCCAGCTGCTCGGACCCCCTCTAGGAGGCCTCTAATCAAAGCCCCCTCTGGTTCTTTCGATGCATCTCCTGGCCTCTCCAGCCCTCTCCCTGGCCCTCCTCCTCCTCCTCCTCCTCCTCCTCCTCCTCCTCCTCCTCCTCCTCCTCCCCCACGTCCTCCTCCTCCTCCTCCGCCTCCTCCTCCTCCTCCTCCTCCTCGGCCTGACGCGATCAGCTGCAGGGTTGGGGCCAGCTCGTGCGAAGGTGGCTCAAGCGTGCGCGTGAAGCGAGCAAAGGGAAGGCAGCTGAGCACGGGGCAGAACGCAGACAGACATTGGAGGCCTGGAAATGGGCACCAACACCAAAACAGGGGGTTGCCTCCATAGGGGGAAGATGATCCTAGATTTCGGTGTTGGTGGTAATATTTCGGTCACCTTGGAAGCCAGAATATTACCACCATCACCGAGATCGGGATTTTCTTCCCTCGGTGGAGGCACACCGCCGATATTGGTGTTGGTGTCAACCTCTAGGCCTGCGAAGACAGTGGCAGCAGGTGCTGTTGCCGGCGGGGCCTCGTGCGAGAAAGCAGGCAGTGGCATCAGCTGCAGCAGTGCGACCAGCTCGTGCAAGAAGGGAGGCGGCGTGCACAGCAGACTTGCGATGCAGCGCATCCGCGGACGGTCCGCTCCTGTGTACAACTACAGCGAGGGGATTGCGATGCCCTCCTCCATCCCCTCCACACCCCCCTCCATCTCGGTCCTCCGAAGGCTGCGCAACACTCGGTAGACTGGAAACGCATCTCTACTCCGACCAGAGGACAGGTCGCGGGACGAGGAGAGAGTGAGAGACGGAGGGAGGGGGATAGACGAGGGGAAGAGAAGAAGGGGAGGAGGGATGGGGGATAGAGGAGGGAAGACGGAGGAGGGAGCAGGAGGAGCCGTAGGGAGCAGGGAGGATGAAGAGCAGCAGCAGCAGCAACATGAAGATCCGCACAACTCTGACCTCCCCGGGCCTCGCGCGCGTGCTCCGAGACGAAGGCAACGTGTGCACAACTAGGGCACGAACGTCTCGGGCATCTCTGAGAGCGGCTGGGTCCAGGGGAATCGTCGGGGGCGGCGGACTTTTTTTCACGAGCGCTCCCGATGACGCTCTGAGAATGCTCCCGACCGCTCTGGAACGCTCTGCTAAACACAGCAGGCTCGGGAGCGCCTGGGCTGGAGACTTCTAGGACTAAATCCAAATGTAAACTTCCAGTGGTCCGCGCAGGTTGCATGGGTCGGCGTTGGAGCCCCCCTGACGACGCCTCTGGCGCCGTGCCTGGCGCTCTTCGCGCGCCATGGAATCGTTGTGTTTTCGTTGTTCGGATCGTCATCGTTGTCGATTCGACATGAAGTGAACGGCATCATTTCCTCGCCGCTCCCCCTTCTTCCTTCCCCCTTTTTTCTTCTTGGGCCGTACCCTCCTGCCGTCATGCCGTTGTAGATTCGAAGGGAAGCCCCTTCCCTTTGATCCCTTCCCCAGGGGGGGGGGTCCCGGGGGGGGGTCCCAGGGAGGGTCCCGGGGGGGGTCCCGGGGGGGGGTGGGGTGGGGGTGTGTGGGGGTGTGTGGGGGGGCAGACTCGTTTTTCCTCGGGCGGCCTCGAAACCTCGAAAACATTCTAAATGAGGTCCGAATGCCCAAGATGGCCTCCGAGACGGCCCAAGAGTGCCCCGAGTCGCCCAAAGATCGGCCGAAGACGCCCAA